CTCATTCCAAGTGTGTGCCTTTTGCTTTACCGTTCATATGATATGTGATAATACCACTCCTTTCCAGAGAAAAAATTCCTTTAATAGTGTAAAACACCTTTTACAGTTTTAGCAACTGATAAAACTTCAAACTGCTGAATACACGAGTCAAACAGGATTTTATCACTCCAGTAGTGAAAAATGTGATTTCCTCCTCTGAGCTTACCATCAGACATTAGCGTACACGACACCTCAGATCAATCCCTTATTCCTTTTCTTACTTACTTGCTTTCTTGCTTGTCTTAAGGCTCCTTCACTCTGACAGAAGCCTCCATTGTTGCTGTCAGTGAGCAGTAGTAACATGAGGACCCGGAGGGCCTTCTCTTTCTTCATTGTATCATAATGCAGTGCCTTAGTAGCCTTAACTTGCTCTCCATTTCTAGTGTGGTCATGGGCCACCAGGAGCCATAGATCCCAGTCAACCTCAGCCTCTGGTGGCCGTTTTGGCTGCTTTTCAGTAAGAGATCTATACAAAATGCAACCACAAGGGCAGTTCTTTTAGTGGAGTTGTACTTTGAGTGAGTGTAAGCCATCGGAGGGGGAGGAAGCAGCATGAGCTACCCTGCAATTATTGTTGGTTGCTGCAAGGTTTTAGTGCATGTTCCATCCATTCATAAATTAAAAACAAAAGTAAAAAATGTTTTACAACATTCTAGATTACATTTGTTACTCAGTTCAAATTCTGTGATTATAAAGAGGATTATAAATGATCATATTCCTTTTCTTGTCATGCTTTTCTTACTCAATATTTTAAAAATCATGTTTGCCTTCTATTTATCTTTGTCCCAATTGTTCATTTCCACACTTTTAAGTCTCTCTTTAATTTATTGTTGAATATAGTACACCATCTCTTACATGTGATGACACACCTACACAAAAAGTAACAATTTCTGTCTGGTTTTATTTTTGCTTTGCATGAAGCACTTTTAATGCAAATGGATTGGAGTTTTTACTTCAAAAGTTGTTGATGACGCAACTTCCAAGAGTCTGATGATACCATCTTGATAATGAATCAAACCAAATTGGGTCAGTTACATACACTTCGCTACTTTGGTCAAAATATATTTCCTGAGTTTGGTTAGTGTTGAAAAGCCCATTTGAAGCTCCTTGTTGTTTGACATTTTAACACATTTCACAGAGATGGAAAGAAATTATAAAAATTTGTGGCTGCCGTCACGCACTCAAACCAAAGAAAGTCTTTAAACTTCGAAGTATTTTTGCACATGTTGAGGGGCATCCCCAGTCCGGATCCAGCAGCTGTGAGCTCATGCTGCCTGCAGCTCATCTCCTCTTCACTCAGCAGCTTCTGAAAATGAAAACCCCTCAAATCTAAAATGTCATCAAGATCCGCCTACACCCTTAAATCCCACCCTTTCTATATTCCCCTCCAACAAGGTGCATTGAGTTTCAAAATCTTCAAACCAAAAATTCAACCTAAACCAGTCACCACTGCCCACAGAATCCTGATGCAAAGTTAGCCAGTCAAAAGGTTTTTTCAAAGTCAATGAGAAGTGTGAATGTTGTGAAAAAAACAGAATAAAGTCACACACTTAAGAACAAACTTAACAGTTTGATATCTTAATTCACCAACATTGTTTTATTGATTTATCAACTTGTGGTATTTTAGAAATCTCAATATTATTCAGATTCAAATTCAGATTTGAATAGACGCAAGACCAAGTGTTCGATTTGGACTTATGAGACAGAAGAAGAAAGTAAATGAAAAGTTAAGGGAATTATAAAAAAATGCTTCTTATTCTCATCAAACTTTTCAACTGCATATATTTCTCCCTCACATGTTTTTGTTCCTTCTTTTTATGGCATTGAATGGGACCGTCCTGTGTCTCACTGACGCATGACACACTTGTTGAGAGATTATAGCAGCTGAAAGTGACAGAGAATCTCTGCAAGAGAAAGGTGGCGCGTGGGTGTTGGCTGCTCCTACAGAGAGAAAGAAAAAATACATTTTGATTGATTATGAGTTTGAAAGAAATCACATGGTTTGCCTTTGTTGTCAGATTCAACTTCTGCTTTCGGATGATCAAGTGCAGAGACGGATCTTCCATTACCTTCCCAACTGTAAACTCTTTTTCAGGCAAGCATTACATTTGTCATTAGCCATCAGCCCTTTACTCTGAGATCAAAGCTGTGTCTCATTATATTAATACATCTGTGTATATACAGTGAGAAATGTTTTGGTAAAGGATCACTCAGAAGATCCTTGACCGAGAAATCCTAAAGCAGCCTATTAGTTCATGTGGTCACCTCCTGGTGTGTGTGCGTGTATATAAATGTATTTGTGTGCATGTATGTATGTCTATAGCATTACTGTGGAGGTTCAGATTTGAGTGTTTATAATGTCTTGACAATGATAGAGAGCACTTGCAGGTTAAAATTTTTATGCAGAAAGCTGAAGAACACTTTCCTGAACAGAGAATACTTCCATTTTCATGATTGTTTTTTGTATTTAAAAAAAATCGATAAATAGAACATTGTATGGGTCCTGAAAAAGCACATCCAAGAGGAACATTAGAAAAACTGAACTTGGCTAATCAGAGTCTGTGATACCTTGCTGTTTACATAGGTTGTGTGGTGAAGCTCATCTTTCCTTTTATGCCTCTGTCATAGATTCAGTCTCAGAGGAAAAATCTTTCCTTGTAATTAACTGTTATAAAACAGTATACAGAAGGCCCATGGCATTGGTGTGTAAAATAAAAGGCCAAAATCTCTTCACTGTTTACACAAATAGCAACCACACTTGGCTTTCCGTGCCTGAGATGACTTACACATGCGCACACAAACTCAAAAATAAATGGAGACAAGACTAAAGAAAAGCTTCCACAAAACCTCAGATGTCTTACAGGCACTCTTAAATACATTTTTTCCCTGAACATTTCTCTTTTTTATTTAATAAGTAATTTACAGACACTTTAATTGTCCTCAAGTCCATGAATCTGAGTTGATTTGGAAAATGGGTAATAAAATCAAATCACAGAGAGCCGTGAGTGGCAATTCCTGATTTAAGCTGAGCTGGTTCGGTTGAGGGCATTGAGACTGGCCAGACTTATAATTTCCCCACAGGGATCTGGCTGAATTGTGGCAGATCGTCTCCTCTCCCTTGTCATTTACTTGTCTGTGTGTGGCTTTAGTCAGTGTGGATGTATGTGTCCACCATCCTCGGTGACGCACTTCTGAGCTGCCTGGACACACTCCAGCCCGGACTCTTTCTCCAGTGTTTGTGTTTTCTCATGCATTCGCTGCCTTTTCATATTCTGATCATCACATTTAGAATGGTAAACACCAAATCAATCATCAGTCCCTCAAAATATTCGGCAGGTTCTCACAGAAGTTGCGTTCTTTAATGTTTTGTATAAAGTATTTTATAATGTTAAAATCTAGTGCTATTTTCACCCCAAGAGCCTGAACCTTTTACCAGATAAAAATATTTGAAAATTAAACTGTTCACGGTATGCTGAAGGGGTGCTAACCTTTTTGTAGGCACACTAGAACGTGACATTATTATTTTTTTTACTGATCTAAACTTTGCAACTTTGCAAAAAGAGTAACGTTTAGATATCTCTGCAGAATTGACAGTATGCAAACCACCACGCTGTAGGCCTGTCTATATGTGTGTTTCAGTGTCTGGAAAGCCCATTTAGATGTGCACAGTAAGGGGTAGGAAGGAGCTGACCTTGGCCCTTCAGTCACTTAACACTCTTCGGAGAAAGGAAACCTAATGACCCCTGACTCGCACCAAATGCATATACCCTTGATGTCATTTGGGCTGTGTGTGTGTGTGTGTGTGTGTGTTTGTGCATAGTTTTCTCAACAGACAGTCGTCCATCTGTGTGTGCTTGCCTGAAGCTATCTCACCTCATTTTTTTTGTTGGATGTTTAAAGCATTTTTAAGTAGTTCTACTTTTTTGGACTACTAATGAGTATAATTCACACACTGTTGCAAACCTTGTAAACTACTTGAACTTCATAAGCAAGGCAGAGTGGAAGATCAAGCATTAAGCCAGAAGCAGCGGGGTGGTACGTTTGCATAGCAGAAGCAACTGGAAATTATAGACATAGAGAGTATCCTTGGTTAAATTAACTTGGTGTCATTACTGTATTATTATGTAGAACAAAACTTTATGACTTTGAAAATGTTAAACAAGCATTTTTATCATTTAGTTCAAGCACTCGTGCTCAAAAACTTCTTCTGTCCACTAGATAATTGAATGCATCTCACCAACTTTGCAGTCTGGTCACTTTCCAAGGAGAGATTCTGATTCAGTACTCAAGCCGCAGCATCTGCAGTATGAGGATCTACCTCACTTCAAGCCAATGTGTGTCTGTGTGGTGGCATCATGGACTCCCCTGTACCATATACTGTGGTTTTGCTTGCTCTTAAAATCCCCAACTGGCAAGACTTAAAACACATGACTGAGTGATCTCACACTGAGCGTATAGCTTGCTCGTGAGTGAGTGGTTTTGTCTGCGTGTGTATATATAGAATAAGAGAAGTGAGAGATCAAGAAACAACAAGAACAACGAAGAAGATAACTGGGTTTAAAAGGGGTAAATGTTTCAGTATTCAAGAGGTTATTCCCTGAATGAAGTAAGAGTTGAATAGCTGTGTAAACACAAACGCGTTGTATGCATATGTTTCCAATAACAGACTATGATGATATTTTTCTGCCATAAGAAGAATCATCTCACTCGACGGCCAAGTATTAATCCCTACATCTGTGTTGTGAGTTGTGATTTGTGTGCGTGTTTTAGTTATCTGCCTCTGACAAGAGAATGACTTATCTTTGGCCAAAGACGGCAACAAGAAACAGCCTTTCCTCGTTTTGTGTGCAAATAATCAAACATGGACTGGCCTCTAGTGGTGGTTCTTGTACACTGCGTCACGTTTTCACCTCATTGCCTTAAACTCTCAATATCTCCCTCTCATTTTTGTTTTCTCACAGGGAGATAATTGATGAGGAGGGATTCTGTCAGCCCTACAGAGGCATAGCCTGTGCCCGCTTCATCGGTAACCGCAGCATCTTTGTCGACTCACTGCAAATGCAGGGGGAGATTGAGACCCAGATCACAGGTGAGAAATATACTGATATTTTTAATTATTCTGTTTGAATTGGTTAGTTGGATAATCTTTAATCTGATAAGAATTAAGCAACTGGAAGACCCAAACAAAGCTGTGTATGTAGATTTAATGTGAGGCGAGAATTTCTATTTAATTTTCTATTTTCAGAAAATGTTCTGTTCAGCGAGACATGAACTAGATATAGTGGATCTTCAGAGACAACTCGTGTGAACTAGAGGACAAAATCTTTTTTAGAAATCTTATTTAGAAAGTAATCTTGTAAGTTTTTTGAGTGATTGGATTTTGTACACATGCACACTGATAAGGTTTCTGGCCAGACTTGTGATTTCCTTGCTTGTATTTCCTCACTAATATTCCCCCATCCACACAGTGGGGTAGCTTAAAAATGTGTCGTTGCATTTCCACTTTTTCAGAGAAAATATAACCCTGCCAGACTTCATCAAGTGTTATAATAATGACAGTGTTACTATTTCATAAAGTCGTCATTTGTGATCATGGACACATTAGTTTCTCCTTTGTTGTTTTGTGCTCACCAACCATCTTTGATCAAATGAAATCCAGCAGTGAAATAATCAGTCCTGACACATCATGTTACACATGTTATGGTGATTAAAACACTTTAATGAAAGTGGCTTCTCTATATATACTACACTAATGAAAGCCTTTTCATTCTTAATCATAATGCCTGAGGAAGGAAGCTAGACATGAAAGTTCAGAGGAGGTTCACCATAGCCTCTGCTCTGTATGGCGCACACATGGCCCACGCACTTTCATTTTGTTAGAAATGTCTGTGTCTCTGCTTCTGTGTTCTTTTGTTTTTAGAGATCAGTTTAACACGAACGTTACTGATTATGTCCACGCAGCTGTCATCTTATAGACAAAAGGTTTCACAAACCCACATTCTAATCCTAGACAAGTCATACATAAGATTTATCCCACCATTCAGTCACAATAAGCATACAGGGGGATGTAAATCATAAATAGCCAGGCAATCCACATTCGGTGTCTTTGAAAGGAATGGCGGTTTTAATGATCTTGATGATCATTTTATTTAAGCAATATGTGGCGCACAAACGTTGGGATTGTGGCCAGCTTGACCTTCTCACCTTTTATTCGCCTGTCTTCTATTCACCGTGAACATGTCTGCTTCATTGATACTGACAGCCAAAGAAAGCCATGTGTCTGCAATAACTTATTGCCTTTGAGTCAGACATTTAAAACAGCAGCTTTCCTCCTTAGACTTTATTTGATTCATTGTGTGTGGAGGTGGTCAGAGAGCCAAAGGGAAATCTGGTGGATGTTGCTGGTAAACTTAAAATAATCTTAAAAATAAATTATTTCTCTAATTAGGGATAACCTGATGAAAATATGTAATATTTCTTTATCCTAATTGATCAATATTTTAATGGTTTATTAAGCCGTTAGATGTATTTTTTGCAATGAGATATTTTTTACTCTGTTAAGAGTAAGTCATTATTTTTCTTTCCTGTCTAACACTCAGATCTTGCTTCCTCCCTTGTACCCAGCTGCCTTCACCATGATTGGGACGTCTAATCACTTGTCCGATCGTTGCTCCCAGTTTGCCATCCCTTCCCTTTGTCATTTTGCCTTCCCAACTTGTGACCGCAGCTCAGGCACTGACAAACCACGGGACCTTTGTAAGGATGAATGTGAAATCTTAGAGAACGACTTGTGTAAGACAGAGTACATCATCGCTCGCTCCAACCCACTCATCCTGAAAAGACTGAAACTGCCAAACTGTGAGGACTTGGCTGCCTCCGACAGTCCAGCGGCTGCCAACTGTTTGAGAATCGGGATTCCCATGGCTGAGCCCATCAACAAAAGTAAGAGCTTTTTCTCCGATTGACTACATGGTTTACCAAAACACCAAAGCTGATAATACGTTGCTGTTCTCAACGAAAGATATTTTAAAACTACTTGTTTAAAAGCTCTAATCCCTAAGCCAAATTCCAATATTGAATGTCCAAGCGCAACGCTTTTTTGACCACCTTAGAGCAGCAGAAGAATTGGCTTTACGCAGCATTCAACTAGCAAATATATGATAATAATTTAATATAAGGAATGTATTCCCTATTCATGCGTTTTTCTCCTTAGATCACAAGTGTTACAACAACAGTGGATCAGACTACAGAGGCACAGTCAGCGTGACAAAATCGGGGCGTCAGTGTCAGCCCTGGAACTCACAGTATCCTCACAGCCACACCTACTTGGCAGTTCGCTATCCAGAACTGAACGGGGGTCACTCATACTGCCGCAACCCAGGGAACCAACATGAGGCCCCCTGGTGTTTCACACTGGACGAAGGAGTCCGCATGGAACTCTGTGACATTCCTATCTGTGGTGAGATACTTCAATTCTTTCATTAAAATTCCATTTAAATTCTCAATAATCATTGTGCACATAGTTGTTGCCATTATTTGAACCTCCATAATTGTAAAAGTGATCAGTTACATTAACCTCCAATACTGATCATTTGCCTTTATAGACTATAAAGACAAGTCAGGAGGCAGCAACATGGAGATTTTATATATCCTGGTTCCGAGTGTGGCTATCCCGTTGGCCATCGCTCTGCTGTTCTTCTTCATTTGCGTGTGCCGCAACAACCAGAAGTCCTCCAGGCCTCCAGCACCACGTCAGCCCAAACCAGTCCGAGGACAGAATGTGGAGATGTCCATGCTCACAACGGCATATAAACCAAAGGTTTGTATGCACCACATTCACAATATAACTCACTGCTTTTAGGAGCAATACGTGATGGGTCTTTCTGTTCTCTCATCCGTTTTGAACGAAGGAAAACACCATAATGGACAGCACAACATTTCTCGACAGTTTAAAGAAGGAAAGGACCATTTGCTGTGTTTGTCTGTATAAGTCTTAAGAGCAGACTGCAGGAGTCAAAACACTAGCACAGCATGCTGTGTGTTAACTGGGATTTGCCCCAGCATGCTGGGGTTACAGGGTCGAGTGTGTGGAAGTGACCTGTCTCAAGCGAAGCCTCTGATCTCTATCACCAGATCTCAGCAGGATCTGGAATGTTCAGCTGCAGCTCTTTTCCTCTGTTTATTTCTCTCCCACTGTCCCTTTTTCCACACCTCTCTCTTACCCTCCTGCTTTCACTTAATCCATCTTTTTAGCTGCTTTTCTTACATCTCTTCCTTTATCCTATTACTCCCGGATCATTCTTTTTCTCTCTCCTCATCCCATTCCTCTTTCACAGAGCTTCTTTGTAATGCAGATAATCAGGCTTCGGCCTTACCAGCCAACACATAGTTCATATTGGAATCAGTATTATGTTTCCTTCAAGGTTCCACACTAATTCATACCATGTCTGTTTCTTTTTTTTTTTTCTTTTTTTTCTTTTTTTTTTTTTTACAAAACGTATTGTGGTGAAGGTGGAGGGTGTGGGATTATCTATACAATGTGTCTGCTTGGTTAAAACAGATCTGATGCTCAATGTACAGTGTGTAATATTACCATCAACAACTGTAGAGAAAACCACAAAATGTCAGGAGTGTCAGAATCTATAAATATTACTGGTTTATTTAGTTTCTTGGACGGGAACAAGTGTTCACAGACAGTAAAAGGGAGTCTGTCCTTACTATGTTTAGAGGAAAAATATGCATCTGTAAAGAGTCAAGTTTGCTGGGAGTGAAGGGAAACCTTTTTGGGGATTGACGAACGTCATGGAATTAAACAGTTGACTTTAAATGGTCTTTTGAGTAAAAGATGATCTGAAATTTCTCATTCTAAAACTGTGCATGTCTTTGCAGCTGTATTCTGTGTGGTCACTTTTCAGTATGTTAATCTGGTAAAACAGTAGTGCACAAAATGATTTAGGAATAGACTTAAAACCCAAGAATGAGGCATGGCTTATATTATGTTATTATTATGATCATATTCAGTTAATTGTCTTTCCCATTGTCATTATTTAAAACTTTGTCAGGGGTTAAGAATATGCTACTGCCCTGCAGGCATTTTTTTCAGGGTCATCAAAAGGCCAAAGTCTGTAACAGTTTAGACACACACATGTGTACACACACACATACACGCACGAGCGTGAACCTGCGGTGTTCTGAGGAGGATCTGAGGGTTTGGGTGTGGGGAGCAAAGAATGGGGTGAAAGAAACCCATAACTAAAAACATCTGCGTAACTCATAATATTCAACACACACTTACACCCCCCTCAGAGCTCATACCGACCGCTCTGTATGTGTGTGTGCGTGTGTCTTGCTCACAAAGGAATTTCATTATTCATCTCAGAGTTCCTGGAATCTGAAAATCTCTGCCAACTTCTCCTCACTCTTATCTCCTCCTAAACATAACCACAAACACCTCTAATGGAGCTCCTGCTCTCTTAGACACACCCATTTTCACTCATCAATTTTCAACAATAATTTACCTTCATTAGACTCTCTACCTGTACATTAAGAACACAATTGAACTGTTGGAGTGTTTGAAAAAACATGAGAACTTTCATAATCCTCTCAAATGTTGTTGCATTTAGCTGCGAAAATGGGCCTCCCCTTTTCACCAAGTCCTTTTCAGATGAAAATGCAAACACAGTATCCAAACAAAACCTGTCCAGAAAGTGTTTCCGAGGTGATTTCTTGCTATTGGCTACAAGCCTGAAAACACATTTGACCTTTCCCAATGATGTAGAAGGGTAGTGTTGCTAGAAAAATAACGCAGAAGGCGTCATACATGTCAAATGAAATAAAAATGTAATATATACTGTACTACTACAGCTATTTCAAAAGGGCAGCACTTTACTGGAGAAGTCAGTGTTTCTAAATCCTTCTGAGCCTTACAGCCAAGTGACATTTCCAAACTGGAATTTTGCCAGAAATTCACAATTTCAATTTCCCACATTACTTTCCAAAGTTGCAACGGTTTATTAGAAGCTGATGTAATGAATTAACTTTGATTATGACAATTATCAATTCTCTGGGCTCTGGTGCTGTTAATGTAATGATTTAAATGTGCATTACGTGTTCTTTTAGGAAGCGTGCCTGGTCTGAATTAGAACCAGACAAACTCTGTGATATTTTTTTTTCCATCTATACAACAATAATGGGAAAGAAAGGGTGCTAATGTGTAAAGGAAAATAATGATCACATTTTTGCCTCATCATCACTGATGATGTCTTTCATTTATTCTGTTCTTCACTTTGCAGAGTAAAGCCAAGGAACTTCCCTTATCAGCAGTGCGCTTCATGGAGGAACTTGGAGAATGCACACTGGGGAAGATCTACAAGGGTCACCTGTACCTGCCCGGAATGGACCAAGCTCAACTTGTGGCCATTAAAACGATGAAAGATGTTTCCAATGTTCAGCAGTGGGGAGACTTCCAACAGGTAAAGAGCGGGTCATTGCCAAATATTTTTCATGTTTAATTAAAAATGTTTTCTATGCACCTTCATTTTAAATTGGCTGAACAGTAGGCAGATTCTATAAGTCTTGACAAATCAACCTGTATCACAGCAGCTGTTATATCTGAAGCCAAATTTAGCTGGTTTCTGTGGAGTTAAAGTATACAGTTACTGAAATAACCCACTTTTATAAACTACTTTTATAAACTACTTTCTCAATGGAAAGAGTTCTCTAACAAGACCTAAGGCATGTCTTGTTATATTTCCACAGTAAGTAAACATAATGGTTGACTGGGGCCTACATATGGCCAGAAATCACTGAACTGTAGATGGGTTTGGTGGAAAGAGTTCCAAAAATAAATAACTGCTGACGGGTTGTCCTGATTAAATGTTAAGGATGATTCAAACTGAAGATGGTATAAAATGTAATGCTCTCTTTCCATTCAGAGAAAAGAAGGCAGACCTGTCAGCATTTACAGTTACTGTACTGAAAGTATTTTTATTTGATCAATTTTGCTGGGAAAGAAGAGCAGTTATTGATTACTTAAAGTTAAACTAAAGCTGAATTTAGTTGAATTTAGTCTCTAGTAATATCGGCTGTGTGTTACACTTTTCGTTACATTTTTTTAAAGGAAACTTAAAATTGATTGTGTTTTTTTGGCTTGCTTTGAAGGAGCTCTCAGTGCTGAGTGAGCTGCAGCACCCCAACATGGTGTGCCTGCTGGGTGTGGTCACCCAGGAGCAGCCTGTGTGTATGCTGTTTGAGTTTCTGCCACAAGGAGATCTCCACGAGTTCCTCATCATGCGTTCGCCACACTCCGATGTTGGCTGTAGCAGCGATGAAGATGGAACTGTAAAGTCCAGCCTTGACCATGGTGACTTTCTACAAATGGTCATACAGGTAGGGAAGCTTCTCAAGAAAACTCCCAATTGCATCCAAATGGATGTGATAGGAATTGACCATGACATTTTGTTCATTTGCCAACTAAAGAGAAAAAAGTGAAAGCTCCTGTCGTAGATCATACAAAAAAAAAGGTTAAGGTTAGGTTAATTTGCAAACATATGTACTTGCCAGAGTCTGGCAACTCTCTCTTTGGCTCCACCTAGAGTTGTGGAATGTAACACCAGGGTAAAGCCTGATAAAGGAGAAGTTATTGTTATGCTGAGAAGCCAACAGGCTCCACAAGCCATCAGAAGCTTCAAATAGTTTATTGCAGGATTATGTTACAAAGTTAAAAAAGAAAAGAAAAAGTCATTGTATGTTCAAAATTAAAATAATGGCTCAAGATGTTGTTTATTATAACCAGGACAAACATAAATGTGTTTATTTTCCATCAAATTTGCAATATATTGTATTATAAAGTTAAGATATACAGATAAACCAATTTCTTTATTTTCAGTTGTTATTAGGACTGTTTTGATATTTGCTTAGCTTTATGGTCTTCTTATAGCTCCCTTCACTGCTTGATAAGCATGTAATTAACCCTTTTTCTTCTCTTTTTTCCTGAATAGGTGGCAGCAGGAATGGAGTATTTGGCCAGTCACTTCTACATCCATAAAGACCTCGCAGCTCGGAACGTTTTAGTTGGGGAGCAGTTGCATGTTAAGATTTCGGACTTGGGTCTCTCAAGAGAGATCTATTCCTCAGACTACTACTGCATCCAGCCCAAAACTCTGCTGCCCATCCGCTGGATGCCCCCCGAGGCCATCTCCTATGGCAAGTTCACCACAGACTCAGACATCTGGTCATTTGGAGTCGTGCTGTGGGAGGTCTTTAGCTATGGCCTGCAACCCTACTATGGTTTCTCCAACCAGGAAGTAATGGAGATGGTGAGAAAAAGGCAGCTGCTCCCTTGTCCAGAGGATTGCCCACCAAGGTTTGTGACTGTCAGAAATTGACCCTAACTCCAGCATTGTGCTGTGAAACCTTACAAATAATAGTAATTTTTCTTTTAAAGTTTCTATTTAAAACTGGTTTCATGGGAATGTATAGTTGCAATATTTACACAGTCACTGTCTTCCAGGTTTTACGGTTTGATGACGGAGTGCTGGCAGGAAGGGCCAGCACGCCGACCAAGATTCAAGGACATCCACACCCGCCTGCGCGCATGGGAGGGTCTGTCATCTCACGCCAGCTCCAGCACGCCGTCTGGTGGAGGGGGGAACGCGACCACCCAGACCACCTCACTCAGTGCCAGCCCAGTCAGCAACCTCAGCAACCCTCGCTACGCCGCCGCCGCCCCCGCCGGGTACCTGTACCCGGCCCAGGCCATCCCCGCACCGGGTCAGATGGCTCAGATCCCGGCCTGGACGCCCATGGCCATGCCCCAGACCCACCAGCGCTTCATCCCCGTCAACGGCTACCCAATCCCAACGGGATATGCAGCATTTCCAACCCATTTCGCGCCCCCGGCTCCGCCCGCCAGGGTGATCCAACACCACCTGCCACCTCCCAAAAGCCGTTCGCCCAGCAGCGCCAGCGGCTCCACCAGCACCGGGCACGTCAGCGGGGTGCCCTCCACCACGGGCTCCAACCACGAAGCCAACACGCCACTGCTTTCCCACTGCATCATGCCGGGGAGTGGCGGAGGGCAGGGGCAGATGTACGGACAAGTTTCCCAGAAGGGGATGGCCCAGCTGGAGCACATGTCGCAAACCTCGGCGCTGCTCAGTCCTGACTCTGACACACTGATGTACAACGACTCGGTCATCACCGCAGACCTGTAGATAGGCCACGGAAGGCTCGCTTTCTTTCTGCTTGGGACCCTTAAATGAGAAGTACGCCCTCTCAGCCGGGGAGCCAGCAACAAGTGTGACTTTGGTCATTTTGCGACCGCACAGAAACAAGCTTGTATTCACATCTGGCTGTGCGAGAACTGTCACAGCGACACAAGTATTATAAACATCTGTCTGTATTTGTAATAGCTCTCTGTTTAAAGCAAGTGTACTTACTATCATGGTTTGAAAGTTATTTTAATCTCTGTAAATACGGTACATAAATATATATTCATAAAAGCTTTTAATGGAAAGCATTTTATAGATTAAAAAGTAGCAAATCCACCTTGTGCATTTGTTAAAGTGGTATCCTAACAAACAGGTAAACTGTTTAACACAGGATTCTGCTGAAACATGCACATCCATGTGGCCACATCATGGTGCCTTTTACAGATTTACTGACACACAAATAAAATAGCCAGCCAAGTAAGAGTGGACCAGGCTGTATTTGAGAATATTTTCTCAAATCATGCAGGTAACTTTGCGCTTTGGACTGATAACATTTTCATCCCTTAGAAAATTACAGCCAAATTCCTTTTGTTTTTTCTGAATTCTCAACTTGACTTCTGCAACAGGTACACATCCATCTTAATTGTGCTCAAACTGTTCTCAAAGCTGGCCACAAAGAGAAGCCTGAAACTCAAAACCTCTCTCTTATTTCCACTTGCTCCTGTTTTTTCCCCACATCAGATTTCCCATCAAACTTAAAAACTGAACCGGTCTCAGGGTAAACACTTCATACACCACATAAGATCTGTTTTAGTGTCTGTATTTTAAGATGAAATCTCATATAAGAAACGTTTTTGAAAAATTATAGTGTTAACTGATTGGATATAGGTTTTTTCATTCTGTTTTCTATGTTTTATTTGAAGGAAAGTTTGACGTTTTTGTTCTATGTGTTTGTGTCCTGTCCTGCTCTTTCGGTCAGTATCCTACAGAACTCACTATGTTTGTAGTAAATAATCTGAGCTGTATACATGGACAAAAAACACTTTGTCAAACATCTTCAAATGTATGGATTTTGTTACTGAACAGAAGTTTATCTCATCTAAAAGATTAATGCAGTGAGTTTGGACAGAGATTGTCATATGTGCCGGCAGATTCATGGCTGGTTTAGAAACTTGCCTTTGAAAATGTATTCATTACTACTTTTGACAACCATCATAAGTAAAGTGTCCAAGCTAATGGAAAACAAACAATATCACCTTTTCATTACCATTCCATTTATTTATCAATTTGTCAAAAGCCGTAGAGCAAAGCAGTGAGGCTAGGTTAGCTGCATTTACTCCATTCATTTCTCAAATGAAAGTGTTTGGTAGATTTATAGACTCCCATTCCTCTCCGTCATTATTTGATTAGGATGTTGATTAGATGTTACATGTTTACATATATATATATACATATGTATATATGAAGCTTTATCATTTTGAGAAATGGTCATGAAAATGTGATCTTGTCATCTTGATTTTAAAATGGAAATTCTGTCTAAAAGAAACATGTATCCCGTTCAGTACTCACTCAGTTGAAAATCGTCAGATTTGAAATGGTCACACAGGTGCTCTTTTTTGTGTTGCATTCATGTTTGTGCTGTTGTGATGAATAACACTCAACTAGTGCAACAAAAGGACACCCCCAGCACCTTTGTCAGCAGCTTTTTATCCTGAAAATGCAGAACAAAAAAGATACTTTAACTGGGTTTCATGAAAAGAAATAGCATTCTTGAGTTTTATGGGAGCTCTTGTTTCCATCTTCAGATGAGATTTTGTTTCTAGGGTCAAATCAAAATATCTTAATATTTGAAGTAAATTTGTATTATTATTTTTTTGTACTTTTCTCGTTTTAATTTAGTTTTTTGTTGTTTTGTTTTTCTGAAGCAGACTGAGCTACCTAAACAGAGTTTCTTCAAATGACCTTTAGCATGTGGATGAATGAATACTAACATAGAGCAAAAACCACTTATACACAAGACTGTGAATCTTAATCAAGTCTAGGGATTGTTGTATTTGGCCAAATTACACAAAGGAAAATCAAAAATGTGCCTCTTTCTTTTTGATAGATTTATCCTTTTTTTTCAGGAGACAACGTTCAACTAAATGTATCATTCAAACAGATCTTATCCACTTTGGAAGGTTTATATGCACATTGACAAAGAGAGGCCTTGTCTTTGTATTTTGTTTGAATATTTTTGCACAGAAGTTTTTATGGCAAAATCGTGTATTAAATGATGACGTTTGGTTATCTTGGCAATTACTTTCTAAATGATTATTTTTTAATTCGTTTGTAATAGCAATGTGAATCCACTGGGTGCCACCAAATCACAGGTTTGTGGGTTACTTTGAATTTCTCTTGCATTGATCATTGATGGCCACAACGAGGCGCTGTTTTAAAGGTAAAACATCTGATGTAGGTTTCAGATCAGCTAGAAAAGAATTTACCCATTTTTAACCTAGAGTTTTGTTATGATTGTGTTTATTAGTGTATGTTTTCCTCAGATTTCTTCTCAAAGTTAAATTTTCCCTAACCTTAAGATTAGGCTACCCTTATAACTTAATTGTTTGTGATGGCATTTCACTATCAGTAGTTCTATTTCAATACTTAACTACTTAAAATCCCAAAAACAAAAGGAAAAAACATTCAAGGAATGAAATGTTACTATCATTATTACTATATTTCTCTTTTCAAATAAATTAGCACAATCAGTTCAGTTAAACTCTACAAACTGGTTTTTCATCATGTGCTGATGATCGGATGTGGGAACACATCAACAGCCCTTCAACGCTCACTCAATGTAAAAGAATAATGCTTGTACATTGGATACTTCCAAAGTACTTGAAAAGATTTTGTCCTAAAAGTGTCATCACTTTTTGATTTATAAATAAGGGGGAAATGTGATGTGTGTTACTGCTTCACAATGATTTGCCTGCAGTGCTACACCTGAAGAGCTGCAGTCATTGTACAGCTGGAACTGAATGTCCTCTTATGTGCCTTTCTGTTAAACTTTTCTCCCCCAGCTGTGTTATTGTTGCTAATGGGAACATCTTATTGAAAATGTTCGGTCGAAACTCAACTCAATACAAAAATGCATTATATATCATCAAGGGGAAAGACTCATCAAGGGGAAAGGAATTTCTAACATTTGTCACAGGGGAATTACACTGCATAATGGACTGCATCAAAGCCTAAACAGATTTTCTCACTCTTTGCCGTATAACTCTAAGATTAAATTTTCCTAAACACTTGAAGCACTTGGGGAATTTTAGATTAAGGAGAAAATAAGACCAAGATAAATGTAAGTTCAAATGGGTTACAGAATGTTTCAAATCAACCAATACTAAATAGGTGTACCATCATCTAAATGATGAGTGGGGGGTGGCTGTGTCCCACCCCAATGCTAAAAACCCTATGATACAAAGCCAGATCGACTTCTTTCTCAGACCAGACTGTAACTGGGGATGACCCCTCCCTTTTTAGACAAGCCTTCAGGGCCCTCTCTGCCAAAGGAGCTGCATTAAACCCATTTAGTTCAGAATGCAATAGGCTGTAATGGGCTTTGAAGGTATGGGAGAGGCTGTAAAAGAGAATGGATGTGCAAATGACTTGGAGTGGAACAAAGGTAAAGCACTGTAGATGGCTGATGAAGTTTATATGTGGCATAGAGCCACAGCGTGGGGCAGCAGGCTCTAGATAAAGAAATGTATTTCTGCTAATGTGTTGAGGACTTAACTGGGACAGCAGTTAACATTGAGGCAAAAGGGCTGAGATCTGAATTCATCTGGGCTCACAGGGAGCACTGGAAGAGAGAGGGGGTTACTGGTGCAAATATTAAAACTAATCTTAAAGGTTTGTCAGAGCTGGATATGTGGTAATTTCATCCAATCAGTGCAATTCAATGCATAGACAAGCAGTTTATTAAAAAACATGAAAGACGTAATGCTGACTGATCCAAACAAAGGTTAAAGATTCAAATTCAGCCTCAGACAGTCTGAATGAATTTTTCTGACAATTTTTTGGATCACGAAGCAAATTGTCACAACACCCTTATCAGTGAACCACATGAGTTACAAGATGTAAAATAGCTCATTTTATATTTCCTGTGGGACTGGAGGTTCTAACAAATCAGGAATTTTGCCTTGACAATGTGATGACTAAGTGGATGAGTAGGAGGGAGGGAAAAGTCAGAGAGATACAGTTTCCCCATTGCCTCAGTCTATCGTAGACGTCCTGGAAGCCTCTAACAAGCCGTTGATTGTTGGGGAACATGAGCTGTTTTTGTTGGGAAGCTGACAGGCGCTTGACCTCCGATGTCCGTGCCGCCACATGCTGACCTCGGAGAGCCAAAGAGACTTGAAGTCTTTGAACGCTGTCAAGTGAACTGTCAATGCGGGGTTTAATTTCCCCTGGGGCTCTGACAGACCTGGAGTCTATCAAGAAGTCGGCTTTGTCATTTATAGTGTAATGCCAGTGATTTCTACTTTAATTGAACTTGTACCTTCAAAATGTTTGGCGTCTTCTGTTTATCAGCAAACAAATAACACGTGCCATTTAACGGAGACTGAAAAAATCCCTTTACTGGGTCTAACCTGACTTAGTTCAACTTCCATCCTGTCAGTAACTTTATCTGCTGCCGTGCTGGTGCTAACTGTGCCCGTGACAGCAGAAACTCATTGTTCGACTCCGCATTCATCTGTCTTCAAGTCCTCGTCTTTGTCAGACAGATACTCATATGTCCTCAGAGTAGGAAAAGACAGGAGAAGAACAATAGAGAGAAAGATGGATTCATATTCCTTCTGCTGTCTCACCAGTTTGAGATCCCCTAACCCTTTCCAATAAAGTTAGCTCACCGGGGTAATGCATCACTTCTATGGTGGTGTCAAGAAGATCTCATTCAATTTTAGTGAGGAGAGACTACACTTTAACAGTCATTGTTTAAAAAATCCAAAATAACACCATCATAATTAAATGATTTTTCTTAATTAGGCACAAGCTATGCTAAAAGCCAACAAAAACTAAAAGAAGACATATTATTCTTCAGGAAGTTACATATCCAATCAGGATGTATTCTGTGCAAACAATGCAGAATGGACGTAAATATGACAAAGCAATAGAGTTGACTACAGGCGGGTAAAGCATAAATCACATATATACTGTTGCCCTGACTGAACTGCGTGATGTTAATAATTAGAGATGAGATATTAGAACTGTGTGGTTGACAGTGTCCCAGCTGTGGTTGTGAAGCACAAGCATGAGCATCATCTGTTTGAGGACCTGGCTTAAATCTGGGCTGAGCAGAGTTTGTGTGTTCTCCCTAAACCTGTGTGGGTCATTCCCTGGTATTCCAGGATTTCTGACATCTTGCAAAGACATGCGTCTGTGTGTTAGGATATTTGGCAGTTTTAAAACTGATGCCACTTTAGGGGTGTGAATTGTTCCTATTTTCAGATGGCATAGGCTAAAATCACCCTGCAAAATTTGATTAGATAGGTATGAATTGATTGGTAAAATACATCTGTTTTTTTGCTTTAGCTCATTTTGATCACCCCATTAGCTGTCTCTGTGTGCTTGACCGCTACCTGATTATTAAACAAAGCAATTCAACTCTTTCCACACAAGTCTCTGTAATGTTGTCCTAAATGTTTTTAGTAAATGTCATTTTTATTGTTAAACCTGAGTACAGAGCAAGGCGCTGTTTGCTGCTTAACACACTGAATGAGCTAATTAGATTCAAATACCTTCAGAGATCACATAGTTTCTTAAATTGGGCGTGCTTTGAAAGTCTCAAGCACTCTTACAGGGAACAAACTGTTCAAGTCGGAGTCACACAGTGTATTTCATTTGTTAAAAGTCAGTATGTAAATGCATTTCTCTTCAGTCTTCAGCAATCATCATCGCTCCTCTCAGTTTCTCTCTCTACAGTTTCTCCCACTTCTCCTTTTTCCCCTCTACTCAAATTCTCTATCTAATAATCCATCCATCTTTGTGGTGGAATGGAGGTTTAATGCTTTCCATCTGTGTGCGTCGGTGAAGGGGCTCCAAGGGCAAGGCCTGCCACTCTTTATTCTCTCCCCCTTCTTCACTTCAACTCATTTCAAACAAAACCCAGAGTCTGTTTCCACTCAGCCTTAAAGTCTAAGCTCCTGCTCCATGCTGGGGCCCCTCCTGGCCTCAGGCAGCAGGGGGAGGTGATTTCAAAGATCTAGGTCCTGAAATCTTTTTTTCTTTGGATCCTGCAGATTCTGGGTCACACTGAACTGAACGAATGAGTTGATTAATTATATTCAAAAGCCTAGTTTAATGCTCAAGAAACATGCAGGATAAAACACAAACACACAAAAAATCTAATCATCTGCAGATTTAGTTTTAGAGGAAATAATACGTTCTGGGACATGGGTGGAGAATTTTCATTTAAACTCCATCTTGGGTCTCATCTAAAAATAATTTGTAATTTTTCCACATGAACAACAAATCAAATTAAATCAAAGTTATGAAAAAGGGAAGCCTTCAGATTCGACATCCGTTCCAGATCACCCTCCC